AACAGGAGGCTGGAAGAACACAGCAGGCCGGGCAGCATCTGGAGGAAAGGAGCAGGCAACGTTTCGGGGATGACCCTTCTTCAGGGCTGGGATGGCCTACATGTGACTCCAGTCCCACACGCAATGTGGTTATCTCTCAACTGCCCTCTAGGCAATTAGGGATGGGTGACAAATGCTGGTCTAACCAGTGACTCCACTTCCAGTGAATGAGCAAAAAAAAAAGATTTCGCGGGGATTTGAGGAGGATTTGTTTTGGTAGGAAGCAAGTGGGAATCGAAAAGGATGGTCGAGTCAAAACCCTTGATGAACTTTAAATAAATGTTTGAAATACCGTGACCCACAGCTAGAGACGGAGAGTTGGAATATGGTTAGTTGGGGGTTTTCTTGGGCTAGCGCAGACATGATGGCCCAAGTGGCCTTTTCCTGCACTTTACATTTTCAACATCTGTCAATAACTCAGCCAAGTTTGTAACGGGGTGGCGTGTGAACCAGATGAGTTTGGGGGTGGGGTGGGGGCTGTGTTGCTATGCTCAGCATCTCCTGCTTAAGTGCTCAGCAAAAAACTGCACCGATTAATTACCCAAATACCTCTTTCTTACCTCCACAGAGGGATTTCTATCAAGCTGTGAAGACCGGCTACACCATTGGGCACAGCTTATCCCTCGGTGCTCTGATGACTGCTATTATTATCCTTTGCATTTTCAGGTAGGGACATCACCACGGGGAGAAAGCAAGAGTTTGGCATGAGGTAATGACGCTCATCTGAGCAGACATGGTGGGCTGAATGGCCTCCTCTGGTGATCTGTGATTTGAGAGTCTGCAAGGGTTTAGCATAAGTAGAGAGATCTTGCTACATTCGTATTGGGTTTCGGTGAGAGCACATCAGAAGGGAAGGCAATGGCCTAATAGTGTTTTATTAATCTAGAAAACTCAGCTAATGTCCCAGGGGCCTGGGTTCAAATCCCACCGTGGCAGATGGTGGAATTTAAATTCAATAAAAATATCTGGAATTAAGAATCTATTGATGACTGTGAAACCATTGTCAGTTGTAGGCAAAAAAACCCATCTGGTTCTCTAATGTTCATCAGGGAAGAAAATTTGCCATCCTTGCCCAGTCTGGCCTCTCTGTGACTCCAGACCCACAAAAATGTGGTTGACTCTTAATTAGGGATGGGCAATAAATGCTGGCCTAGCTGACGACGCCCACATCCCATAAGTGAATGTTTAAAAACGTGCAGTTTTGTTCTTTCACATTTAACAAAAGAAATACTTACATTAGCGAGAAGGTTCAATGAATTAATCCCAGGGATGGGAGGCTCATCCTTTGAGATTCTGAGCAAATTGGCTCTATATTCTCAGGAGTATAGAAAAATGAGAGGCCACTTCACTGAATCATACGAAATCCTGGTGGGGCTTGACAGGGTAGCTGCTGAGAGACTGTTTCCATTGTCCGGGGAATCGAGAAAATGGATTAGGGAAGGGCCGATGGAGGGGCACTGTCTCAGGATAAGGGTCTGATCATTTAGGATTGAGATGATGAGTTCCTACACTCAGGGGTTGTAAACCTCTGAACTTTGCTACCCCAGAGGTTTGTGGAGGCTCCATCATTGAAGATGTTTAAGTCTGAGACAGATAGTTCCCGGAGAGACCAGGAATCTAAGGGGCATGGGTAGGAGGTAGCAAAGTGGAGTTGTAGCTGAAGATCCACCCGGATGGTATTGAATAGTGACCTGAATCGATGGACTGAATGGTCTACTTCTCCTCCTATTTCTTACGTGATACTTTCTACTTTACTTGACAAGACATTTGGATAAGTACATGAAGAGGAAAGGTTTAGAGGGATATGGGCCAGGAGCAGGCAGGTGGGACTAGTTTAGTTTGGGATTATGTTCTGCATGGACTGGTTGGACCGAAGGGTCTATTTCCATGCAGTGTGAATCTATGACTTGATAAAAACTTGACGGGCTGGGGAAGCACTTTGGGAATGCGTCAGGCTGGTGCAAGGTGCTATATAAGTGCAAGTCTTTCTTTTCTCATTACACCCAGGGATGAGGGGATGGATTGGGAGTCTTCGCTCTGAATTTAATCTTGAAGCCTGTCAATATTACTATTCCTTTGTGGCCGAAAAAATAAAATTTGATTTGTGGACAAGGACAGGACATAGAGAGTTAATGGTGGGACCCTGGGGAGATCTATTGAACAGAGAGACCTAGGGGTGCAAATACATAGTTCCTTGAAAGTGGAATCACAGGTAGATGGGGTAGTGAAGAAGGCATTTCGCACGCATGCCTTCATTGCTCTGACCTTTGAGTTTGGGAGTTGGGAAGTCATGTTGCGGTTGTACAGGACGTTAGTGGCGACACTTTTAGAATATTGTGTACAGTTCTGATCACTCTCCTGTAGAAAGGATATTATTAAATTGGAGAGGATTCAGAAAAGAATTTACAAAGATGTTACTGTGACTAGAGGCTTTTAGTTATGAGAGGCTGGATAGAAAAAATCATGAATCCCTACAGTGTGGAAACAGGCCCTTCAGCCCAACAAATCCACACTGACTCTTGGAGCATCCCACTCAGACCCATCCCTGAACACTATGGACAATTTCCCATGGCAAATCCACCTAACCTGCACACCTTTGGACTGTGGGAGGAAACTCACACAGATACAGGGAGAATGTGCAAACTCCACACAGACAGTTGCCTGAGGTTGGAATTGAATCTGGGTCCCTGGCACTGTGAGACAGCAGTGCTAACCACTGAGCCACCATGCTACCCTCAACATAGGCTGGGACATTTTTCCCTGGGGTGTAGGAGGCTGAGGGATGACTTTATAAAATCATGAGGGCCATAGATAAGGAGAATAGCAAAGGTCTTTTCCCTAGGCGTGGGGAGTTCAAAACTAGGGGGCATAGGTTTAAGGTGAGAGGAAAAAGATTTAAAGGGGACCTAAGGGATAACTTTTTCACACAGAGGGTGGATCGTGTGTGGAATGAACTGCCAGAAGAAGTGGTAGATGCAGGTACAGTTACAGCATTTAAAAGACATTTGGACAGGTACATGAATAGGAAAGTTTTCGAGGGATATGGGCCAATTGCAGGCAATTGGGACTAGTTTTGCTGGGGAAACCTGGTCAGCATGGACAGGTTGGACCGAAAGGTCTGTTTCTTTGCTGATGACTCTGTGACTCAATGAATCAGGGGTCACTCGGATGACAAATAGAAATCCTTAGCATACACTACAGTTGGCTAAGTATGAAGGTTGATCAAGTTGTTAACAATGAAGAAGATGGTTGTAGGTTACAGGAAGATATAGATGGCTTGGTCAGATGGGGAGACCAGTGGCAGATGGTATTTAACCCTGATAAGTGCAAGGTGATGCACTTTGGAAGAAGAAACAAGATGATGGAGTATTTAGTGAATGGCAAGACACTGGGTAGCTTAGAGGAGCAGAGGGAACTAGGGGTAATTATTCACAGATCCCTAGAGTCGGCAGAGCATGTGAATAGGATAATTAAGAAGGCACATGGGACACTTGCTTTCATCAGTCGTGGCGCTGAGTATAAGAGCAGGGGGATATTGTTGGAGTTGTACAGTGCCTTGGTCAAACCACAACTGGAGTACTTCCCATCTGGTCACCTCGCTACAGGAAGGATGTGACAGCACTGGAGGGGGAACAGAGGAGGTTCACCAGGATGTTGCCTGGGATGCAGAGACTGAGCTATAAGGAGAGACAAGACAGGCTTGGATTGTTTTCTTTAGAGCAGAGAAGACTGAGGGGGGACATGATTGAGGTGTATAGATTATGAGCGGTATGGACAGGATGAATAGAGAGGAGCTGTTCCCTTCGGTTGAGGGGTCAATCCTGAGGAGGCATACTTTGATGTTAAGGGGCAGGAGATTCAGAGGGGATTTGGGAATAACAACATTTTCACTCAGTGGGTGGTGGGAATCTGGAATACATTACCTGGGAAGGTAATAGAGGCCAGAAACCTTACAACCTTTAAAAAATATTTGGATGAACACTTGAAATATGACATTCAAGGATATGGGACAAGTGCAGGAAATTGGGATTAGCGCACCTTTAGCAATAGTTATATTAGTGCAGACTCAATGGGCTGAAGGGCCTTTTCTGCGTTGTATGAATCTATGACTGTGACTCTGTGACTAAGGGAGAGTGGGGAAAAGAGGGATAACATTACGTTTGGAGATGACCACTTTGGGGGAGGACACTGATAGCCTAGACTGCCACTTATGACCCTGTGAAATATCCAAATGGCTAATTGCTGTGTGGATCCAGTGATTAGCGGGGGGGTGTCTCTCTCCTGCCCACCGTGGAGATGAGAAGACAACAGCAGGAAACAGCTCAGTCCCTACATCAACCCTCCACCAGGGGAGATATTTTCCAAATCTGTTCAGGGATGATATGATACACCGCCTGGAGCAGCTGGGAACCCAGGCCTCCTGTCCCAGCGATAGGGACAATGCCAGTGGACCACGAGAGCACCAGACACTTTCAAACAGGGGGCAGCTCCATCATCCCTTGATTGGCAACTGCAACGGCCAATCACCGCTCTCAAAAAAGATATGCGAGGCTTTCACAAATCACGTAAAGAGACAAATTTTGAATTTGGGCAATTAGAAACCTATTCAGTTCGAGGTGAGGCACAGTGTATAATAGCCACTTGTTTGTGATATTGCTTGTTCTGACCTCTCCCTGAAAATCAGCATCATTACCACCCTTCCCCCTTTTCCCAACACAGAATTATATCCAATCCCATTGAGTTATTCATGACACTGAAAGAGACCATTCAGCCCATTAAGTTCATGTCCATGAGCAAGCTAGTCAATGCCACTGCTCCACTCTGTCCTAATTTTCTTCACATCTTTAAATCTCTGCTCAGCCTCCTTTACAACAAACTCATCTTCCACTGCTTAGCCTCATAGCTAAAATTCCTCATTGCTGGGAAGACCCACTCTCAAAGACCCTTGTATCTTTCTGAAACAGTAAGGACTGGAATATAGTCTGCTAGTTGGGGCCTTACCGGCATTTCATGAAGATTCAGCACAATATCCTCGCTTTTGGATTCAGTGCCCCTATCTATGAAGACCAGGATCCCATACAGTTTGATAACCATTCCCACAAATGGCCTCCCAACAGCAGAGAGGCAGGTCATATGGCCCTATTGAAATGTACTGGCCCCACTAAGATATTTTGCTATCTATATGCTATGAGTCAGCATAAAGTGTGGAATTTTGGAAATACGCTGCGGAATGCACAGATTTAAAGGATTGGAATTGAAACAGTGGGGCATGCATGGGTGGGAGAATGAGAGAATGGTAACGGCTGGGTCAGAAAGTGTTCTGGATCAGATAATACCGAAATTCATACATTGAGAGGTGATTGAGGACAGCAGGAAACAAACAACAGGATCCAACATTCTCCCCATCAGTGTGTTGACTGTAGTTACATTTATCCACTATCATTCCCTCAAATTATTTTGTGATTATCTTCTCAATTTTGGGCCATTTATACAATCGTCACTGTTCATTTTTCTTCTGCAGGAAGTTGCACTGTACACGGAATTACATCCACATGAATTTATTTATGTCCTTCATCCTGAGGGCCATCGCTGTCTTTATCAAAGACCTTGTCTTGTTTGAAACTGGCGAATCAGATCATTGCTTTACACCCTCGGTAAGTCAATAGTAGCCAAACTCTCTAAGTCATTGGCAAAGCTAACGTTTGTTCCTCGTCCCTAATTGGCCTTGACGAGGCGGTGGCGACTCACCACAGTTCGTGACCTTTAGGTTGACCCACAATGCCGTTGTGGGGAGTGACCCAGTGACACTGAAGGAACGGCAATATATTTGCAAATCAGAATAGTGAATAGCTTGGAGGTGAACTTGCAAGTGTTTCTATATATCTGCTGCCCCTTGTCCTTCTAGGTGGCAGAGGGTATGGGTATGGAACAAACGTAGAACATAGAACAGTACAGCAGAGTTCAGGCCCTTCGGCCCACGATGTTGTGCTGACCTATTATCCTACTAAGATCAAACTACCCTGCATACCCTACATTATACTATCATCCATGTGCCTACCCAAGAGTCGCTTAAAAGTCTCTAATGTATCTGAGTCCACTACCACTGCTGGCAGCGCATTCCACACGCCCACCACTCTCTGTGTGAAGAACCTACCTCTGACATCTCCCCTATACCTTCCTCCAATCACCTTAAAATTATGCCCCCTCATAATAGTCGTTTCCACCCTGGGAAAAAGTCTCTGGATATCCACTCTATCTATGCCTCTCATCGTCTTGTGCACCTCCGTCAAGTTACCTCTCATCCTTCTTCACTCCAATGAAAAAAGCCCTAGCTCCCTCAACCTTTCCTCATAAGACCTGCCCTCCAGTCCAGGCAGCATCCTGGTAAATCTCCTCTGCACCCTCTCTAAAGCTTCCACATCTTTCTTATAATGAGGCAACCAGAACTGAACACAATATTCCAAGTGTGGTCTAACCAGAGTTTTATGGAGCTTTAGCATAACCTCACGGCTCTTAAACTCAATCCCTCTGCCAATGAAAGCCAATACACCATACACCTTCTTAACAATCCTATCAACTTGGGTTGCAACTTTGAGGGATCTATGGACATGGACCCCAAGATCCCTCTGTTCCTCCAAACTGCCGAGAATCCTGCCATTAACCCTGTATTCTGCATTCAATTCGACCTTCCAAAATGAATCACTTGACACTTTTCTGGGTTGAATTCCATCTGCCACTTCTTTGCCCAGCTCTGCATCCTGTCAATGTCCCGTTGCAACTTACAACAACCCTCCACGCTGTCCACAACTCCACCGACCTTCGTGTCATCGGCAAAATAAGGAAAGGGCTATCTAAGGAGACTTGATGAATTCCTCCTGTGCACCTTGTAGACACTGCTTCTACTGAGCGTCTGTGGTTGGGGGAGTGAGTGCTTGCAGATACGGTGCCAGTCACGTAGGCTGTTTTGTCCTGTATAGTGTCAAGCTTCTTGAGTGTTGATGGAGCTACGTCCATCCAGGCAAGTGGGGAGTATTCCATCACAGTCCTGACTTGTGGCTTGTAGATGATGGACAGGCTTTGGGAAGTCAGGAGGTAAGTTACTCCCTGCAGAATTCCCTTCCTCTGACCTGCTGTTATGGGCCCTGTGTTTATGTGGTGACTCCAGTTGAGTTTCTGATCAATGGTAACCCCCAGGATGTTGTTTTTGGAAGTTTCAGTGATGGTAATGCTATTGAACGTCAATGGGAGATATCATTGCTTGGCATTTGTGTGTTACTAATGTTACCTGCCACTTACCATCCTAAACCTGGATGTTGTGCAGGCGTTGCTGTACAAAGACACTCACTGCTTCAGTATCTGAAGTCATGAATAGTGCTTACCATCAAAACCAATTTACCACATGTTTAAATGCAAAAGAAAAGTCTTATGGATAGGAAGTTTTGATTCAAACCTCTATCCATTTAAGAATACCTTGACATGACAGTATCTTACAGCAGGCTAAATACTCCTGCTAATTGATAAGTGCAATACCTCACCAATCCAACATGTCCGGGCAGCACGGTGGCTCAGTGGTTAGCACCAGGGACCCCAGTTCAATTCCACCCTCGAACAACTGTCTGTGTGGAGTTTGCACATTCTCCCTGTGTCTGTGTGGGTTTCCTCCCACAGTCCAAGGATGTGCAGGCTAGGTGGATTGGCCATGCTAAATTGCTGGTAGTGTTCAGAGATGTGTAGATTAGGGGATGGGTCTGGGTAGGATGCTCTGAGGGTCAGTGTGGACTTGTTGGGCCAAAGGGCCTGTTTCCACACTGTAGGGATTCTATGAATCTTTCTATGAAAAATCCAAGATCCTGTGCTCCTATACCAACTTTATAATTGTACCCTTTATTCTATATTGTCTCTCCATGTTCTTCCTTCCAAAATGAATCATTTCACATTTCTCTGCATTGAACGTCACCTGCCCCCTGCCCGCCCATTCCACCAACTTGTCTATGTCATTGTAAAATGCTGCATTCTCCTCATCTCCGTTCACAATACTCTTCAGACCCAGTAAGGACTCAACGGGCATGAATGGCCTTCTTCTGATGTGTAAAGACTCTGACACTAGGTCGTTCTTCCTTGTTATAGACCAGACTAAACCCCCTCAAAATATTTTAAGAAGCTGACCTAGACCCCAACTTTTTCTTATTTTTAGAGGCAAGTGTAAGGCGTTGTGCTCCAGATGCAATTTGATTGGTCAAACTACCAGCCTTGAAGCAAAGCACATTTTATTCATACATTATAGTTAAAATACAAACAAAAGAACAAAGAATTGGAATAACTTAACTCTACTGGGAAAATATGACGGAATAATAGATTAACTGCTAAAAAATAACTGTTGCAATATGGTAACATCCTATAAACACACCCTTGGCAAAGGCAAATTCAATAAAATCGATTTGTCTCACAGGCAATTCTCCAATCCAGGAGGAAAGAACATCAAGAGAAAACCCTGTGTGTGAGGGAGACAGAACTCAAGCTTTTCGCTGTAGCAGGGAGAGATGTTTAGCAGCTTCCAAACACCTTCAGCTACTGAAAGTTAAGCCAAAATCCTGGTTCTGTAGGAGCTTGACCCCACCCATTGATGCTGCTTCCATTGTTACAACGTTTTCAAAAAAACTCAAGGCCTCACAAGCTGTTTACTTCGCTGGCATTGAGCAGACTGCCTCAACCTCCTTTCATTTCAAGAAAAAAGAGGACAAAATACACTTCTTAAAGTCATACTGTTGTCCACATCCTTTTGTTTTCAAGCTACACATTTGAGAAGCATCTGCATGAGTCAAGGTCAGGTGGTACAGGATCAAACCAAGGTTGGAGAGTGTGGTAGATCTGACAAACCAAGAGAAGCCATAAGGTCTGATTTGGCATAGTGAGAACGCAGCTCAATGAGGACATACTCAGTGTTTAAAATCCTTGCAAAGTTCAAAAAACAAACTGTCGTGGGGTTCAGGAATTCCACAGGTTTGAGGCTTTGTGAAGAATATCCTACAGGTGAAGATGCTTGACTCTAACTCAGGGTCACACAGCGAGGATAAAGAAGGTCGAAGACAATGTATTTTAAGTAATTCTTGTGACATCTCAGCTCGAATATTGTGTACAGTTCTGGGCACCATATTATGGGAAGGACGTGAACACATTGCAGGAGCAATTAACAAGAATTGTTTCAGGGATGAGAAAGATGCAGTGTGGAGCTGGAGAAATATAGCAGGTCAGGCAGCATCAGAGGAGCAGGAAAGTCAAATGTTTCAGGTTTACACCCTTCATCAGACTCCTGATAAACCTGAAACCTGAAACACTGTATTGACGCTGACTCCAGCATCTGCAGTTCTTGCTATTTCCCAGGGATGAGAAAATTCAGTTATGATGATAGATTGGAGAGGTTGGGACTGTTTCCTTGGAGAGAAGAAGACCAAGAGGAGATTTGATAGAGCTTTACAAAATCATGAGTGGGTTGGACAGAATAGATAGGGAGGAGCTGCTCCCATCCGTAAAAGAAACAAGAGCGAGAGGGCGTAGATTTGTAGTAATGTGCAATGATGCACACGTGATTGTTAGGAAAACCTCATTCAGTGAGTAGTTGGGCCTGGAATGCACTGCCTGGACATGTGGTGGAGGCAGGTTCAACTGAAACATTCAAGAGGGATATTAAATGATTATTTGGATAGGAATGCCGAGCTGGGATATGAGGAAAAGGCAGGAGATTGGCTCTAGTGGAAACGGTGCAGGTGCCAAAGGCTGAATAGCCACCTTCTGTGCTGTAACAATTCCGAGGAATGGTAGTGAAACATTCAGAGAGGCAACAATAAGAGAGAGAGATAGACAATCACATAGGTTAGTGGCACACAGAAGGGATGAGGATCCAGATGCCCGGAGAATTTCCTAGCGCTCAGTCGGATAGAGCCCAACTCTGAAGGTGGTAGAGATAACAAGGTGTAGAGCTGGATGAACACAGCAGGCCAAGCAGCATCAGAGGAGCAGAAAGGCTGACGTTTTGGGCCTAGACCCTTCTCTCTCCCTATTTATTTCAGAACCCCCTTCCCCTCCCCCATTTCTGAAGAAGGGTCTAGGCCCGAAACGTCAGCCTTCCTGCTCCTCTAACGCTGCTTGGCCTGCTGTGTTCATCCAGCTCTACACCTTGTTATCTCAGATTCTCCAGCGTCTGCAGTTCCTACTACCTCTGAAGGTGGTAAGCAGCTTTGCGAATTGCTGAAAGTTCTGGGAGATTGAGACTGTAAGGTTTAAAGGAGGTCCACTGCACTTATGTTCCCACAAAGACAATGAATGGTTGGAACTTGTGAACCTTGCCCAGTCCCTTTCATCCCATGTAGGACATGGCTTATGGTCAATGCCAAGAGCTCAATGCTACAGAAAGCTCGAAGGAGGAAAGGAAAGACAGGAGACTGCCCACCTTTTGCAATTATGTCCACACACAAGTGTTCATTAAGAGCGAGCATGAGGTGCCCCACCAACACAATAGAGGCCTTTAGAGGCCAGTGGGCACCACAGTGGGCTTGGGGTGTGCGGGCAGGGGGCGTCATCACCCTGAGCTATGTTATTTTGATTTAGTAAGTTTCCCCTCGCATTTTAATAAGTTTCTATTAACCATTTGATTGTG